ATTATTTCAAACGGCCTTTATTCACTGTAACTGTATTTTACTTTTCTTTTCTTGATGATCTACATATATATATATATGTATATATATATATATATATATATGTAGATCTACATATATATATATGTAGATAAAATTTACTTCAAACGGATATTTCGGACACGCTTGTGTCCTTCCTTAGCGTTAACCATATGAATGATAAGTACAGGGCATATCAGATAATAACGAGAGGAAAGTAAGCAAAATAACATTATAAGATACTGTAGTAAGCACCTAGCAACAGTGAATTAATTAACCAATAAACAATCGGTAACACTTGACAAAGTTGGCGGTTAAAAGTACATAAGTAGACAAGTATATAAGTATAAGTAGAAGTATCTAAGTATAAGTATATAAGTTTACAAATATAGTGTATAAGTATATGATTCAAAATCATCACGATGGCTCACCTTAGAGTTCCTATATCAGGAACTCTAGCTCACCTCAATAAATGCTGCCCTCAACGAAAGGTAAAGCGATAGCCGGCTGCTGCTGGTTGTTTGCCTTAAAATTTGTGACTAATAATTCACAATATTAATCATTATCAGATACTGTACTCACAAAGAATAAGAGTTAACTTACACAAATGAACACTGATTTTCGATGTCCTGTGTGGAAGTATGCTACGGTATTTTACACCGCTACAGAATGTACTTTAGACAGTATACGTGGATGAGATTGTTTCGCTTGAAAAGGTCACACACAGGACTCCGCTTGGTCAATCCCTTATTATGCTGTCCCTTTGTTAATTGAGTACAGTAATCTTGGTTGTGTTGCGTGAACTTTGACACGAGCTGTTTAGGACTTTGGTCTATTGCAATACTAGCAACATAAGATTTCACCCCATTTTGCTTAGAAGCTAGCACATGAACCAAATTTTGTCAGAATAAAGTACTGCGAGTGTAAAAACCACATGATATCGGGTTGGGAATGTGATGTAAAGACCCTCCCTCAAATTGGTCTGGGCCAAAAAATGTCCGGCGGACAGATTTAGGCGGCCAAAATCTGTCCGCCGGACTACTAAAATCGGTCCCCCGGATTGATTTAGCCGCTAAAACCGGGCCTGCTTGGATAAAATTAGTCCGCGTCGGCCTGACCACTTCATTTGTTACTCGATCGTCTGCCGCTCGTAGGGTATGATTGTTTCTTCCGTGGAGTGAAGGAAAATATGCTTCTCCCACACTTGCAAAGTCTTTTGCAGTGACAGAAAGATTCGTTAAGCTTTTGAGGAAGTGTTTTATCAAACCACCAGATATTTTGAATTTCCTAGGCCGGCGATGCGTGCATCATTTTCGGCAGCCGTGGTTTAGGCCTAAAATGAAACACAAGACTGATTTATTAGTTTTAAATATGTCATGCAATCGATGTTCTAAGTTAAGCACACGCAACTAAAACAAAACAAGGTAAAAAATAAATTACAGCGGACCAACATGATTTAAGACCACATCGTTTAACTTCTTTTCGTACTTTTACACCAAATGGTTTACTGGGCGCGAAGCTTTACTTAATTTTCACCAGTGATCACACATACAATAACGAATGAAAACATAATATAACGAATGAAAACATATTATGCTATATAATAAGAGATAAGATAGGCTATTTATCTATCATTTGATTACAAAAAATATGAAAAAACATTATAAAAAATACAAGTTATAACTGTTAGACTAATAAAAAAAAAAAGAATTAGTTTATCACCCCCGCGCGCATGTCTTCTATAGTACTGAAAAAAAAATAGAATTTTTTAAAATTTTATTTATTTATTTTTTTCATTTATTTTATTAAATAGCAAGGTAATTCAACAGAAGGACGCACATCTCCGCTCTCGAACATAGCGCGTGCGTACATACAGTCCTTTGATCTTTACTGTGGCATCGACAATCCTATACTAGTTGCGAGTACAGCCGTCAATTATTAGTCTCCGCGTGCCATTCGTTTTATGGTGTTAGTTTTTATTTTATTAATTTGGGGTACTTCGCAATGTCTGTTACATCTGATTTTTTTGACCGCGAGCTTGTTAAATGCTTCTATAAACTGCAATTTGATTTGTGAAAATTGACCAAGAAAATGAAGTTATAGCAATTTAAAATTTACGAATTTTATAAAATTTCATGTTCTTATGTAACATTAATCTGTCATGTTGACAATGTTGGCATAAGGTGCCGAAAACGAACATTTGAGTATATACAGAAAATTTATTAATTTTTCTGCGAAGTGAGTCTCATGAACGACAATTCACCACAATTTTGGTAAAATTAATGTTGAAATGAAGAATATAATTTCAGTCTAATGTTAGTGCAAAATATCATTAGGCCTTTGTAATCACCGCACGACGCGCGATTATCATGGCAACTAACACGCGCGTGGGTAATTCCTCACGTACGCTGACGGTTTATGGTCTGGTTGCTATGGTTTTTGTGACGTTCAGCATGCAGGGACGCACGTGCGCCTAGAATGTCGATGCCAGAGTTATAACCTTTGATCATGGAGGTATTATTGAGAAGGAGACATAGAGGTATAATAAGAATTGTTTAATAGCTCTATGGAAAGAGATCACTCGGCAAAGCCACGCGCACGCAGCGCTATGCAAATGAACCAAGAAAAAAGTTGCCGCAGCGCGTAAAGAACGTTTGCGCGATGCCTTTGAAGTCCCATGTGTCCCCCGCCATAAAATTTTCAGCAGGCGTAGTTGACCAAAAAATTGAACATGACGAAATGGAGAGCACCTTTTTTTCTCAATGCGCACTACATACTGTCAATCACTATGGCTGCGCAATCTTTTCTATTTTGAAGCTGGTACAGTACATTTATCTCTCATAAAATATCAAACATATTAATATTTTCCTCCAAGAAAAGTTTCGAATTTAATGGAACATTTACATGACCTATAAAAGTATAGTATATTTCAACTTCAATTTTCATAAATTGGCCAAAATTCGCCAATTCTAATTTTAACAGATATTAATTAATAAATGATTAAGGATTATAATAAACTAAGTCATTTTATGGTTAACGAGGGTTAACTATTCGAAAAATAAATCCAAAATCTGAGTATTTTTCAGTTTTACGCTGACTTAGCTTTATAGTCGAACCAGATGTGCGTCCTTCTGTTGAATTGCCTGCCTTGTAAATAGTAAGTAGATATTGTTTGCATTATCTAAATCATGTTTTACTTTATATCAATGCACCAGCAAACAACCCAAGGGTGATATTTGGCTTTAGCAAAGTAAAAAATAAAAAAAGCCTCCCTCGCTCATCACTTTTTCTGCCCAGATAGGGTGATAAACTAATAATGTTTTTTCATAGGGCCTTAATGCCGGACCGATTTTGGCTTATGTGGACTATATTTGGCAGGTAATTATAAAGCTAAAATCGGTCCGGCAGACCGATTTTGGGCCCGGACAAAATTTTTCCTGACAGGCCTACACCCAGCCACTTTCCTATCTAAATGCACTGGAAAAACTTCATATGACAATGTAGAGAAAAATCTGCCATATATAGCACATGAACCAACTTTTTCAACAAAGTAGCCTATTATCGATGTAAAGCACAAAAGAAATCCTGAATCCTAAAGGATATAAGTGAAGGTGATGTAAAACCCCTACAAATTATCCCCTTCCCCTCCCTATTCCTACCTTATAATGCATTGGGCAAACTTCTTTAAATTGAAATATTATGACAGTAGCCTCAGGAAACGAAATCTGATATGTTTACATTGGTAGTGGCGTTGCCAGCAGGTCAGTGGGGCGCCAGGATTTGCCCGACGGTGGGTGCGCCGATGTCACTCAAAATCGCTCGAAATTGTCCCCACGGGGGCGAAGCACCCGACAATGACAATTTAGGGGTTCGGCTTATTTAATCGATTTTAGAGTGCCGTAATTATAATTGTAGAAAATACAAATTCATTTTTTTCTCTCCCCGAAGAATTGTGATTGACCCTCTGGGTCCCCCTGCTGGCGCCACCCCTGGTTGCCATACATTTCTTCCTAAATGCTACCCTACCCCTCCGCCCAACCCTGATCCCCAGTCATGTCCCTGCTCGTTTATACAACAGCCAGAAAAAGAGGGGAAAAAAGATATTTTCAATTTCAATTTATTTATAAAACCTCCAGTATAGACAACCGAAACAATAAAATTACATTAAAAACAAATTACATACGGCAAAACAAACTGACATTACACTCACTAAGGAGTTTGTTCAACAAGAACAAGAGCGTTTCATTCCTTAAATTGAGCAATAAGCGTAAGTATTATATGGTTTTTTTTACACTGACAAGTAAACTTTAGGGTACAGATATATTTTCTCTGTTCTCCTTTGTGCATGCACTAATCCCCCACCCCAATGCCATGTCAATAGCTAATACTGGTTTTGAGAATACAAGAGGCTATAACTAGTTTAAAACAATGTTGCTACAGTACAGAATAAAAACCCTAATATATAATTTGCAATCAATATGTTGGACTATGGCTAAATTGCTTTTAGTAAGGCCTATGAAAATATTTACGATACCTGTGAGGTTACATTTATGAGGGCGCCATCCTAACATTCCGACCCGTAATCTAAATATATAATAAATATATAATAATAATAATAATAATAATAATAATAATAATAATAATAATAATAATAATAATAATAATAATAATAATATTAAGAATAGTGTAGTTTTATATAGCGCACAAATCCATCCAATGTAAGATGCTCAGGGCGCTTGAAATGTGGACTAGGTACTCGATCAATGACTTTCTTCGCCCCTTTAAGGGTCCCTTCGTGTCTGTGCTACCAGCAACTCTCATGTCGTCCACCAGAATCCGCTTCTAGAGTAAAGATCATTCCCCAGCAGACTGGAAAGCTAAATGTGCATTCTATTAATTTAACACAAGAAATGTAAAAAAAAAATCATATGCATTAGTAAGGACAAAAACAGCCACCCGCTTCCATACCAAGGTCCTGGATTCTATTACTTTAAGAAAGGTCCTGGATTTGCATTAGAGTACATTGTTTTCGACAAGTTTTATTGATTACAGTATACTATTAGATGGAATAAATATATTGAAGTTGGGAAGGGATTGGGGTGGGTTACAGGTACTGGTAGGGAAGGGTAGGCCTATTTGAGGAAAGCATATATATGTGGGGGTAAGGTAACACCGCAACTTCTTTATTACAGTTTTTATTTTGTCGGCCTAGCAACATGGTTTTAGAATAAGTATAGTCTACTTGCCTTCTCAAAGCCATTATTAGATATTGACATGACATTGGTGAAGAGAAAGAGGGGATTGGTGCACGGACAGAGGGAACTTTGGATAGACTTCTTTTCGAGATGGGCTTTTTTCGAGGCTACTTTTGCAAAGTAAAGAGGGGCTTCTTTTCAAAATGAATGCTGTGAATTTTGTGAATTTGTATTATAAAACAATAAATAAGGTCACTGTAACATCATACTGTATGGAGTGTATTTTACTGGCATTTAATTAACTAAACTACTGTTGTATAAACCAAGCTTGTTTTTAATATATTTTGTTTTTTTTAAATTCATGTACAGTTTATGCACTGTACTATCTCGAGAGGAAGCTTATGCTATGTTGAAAAGAAGCTCATGGGCTTCAATTCGAGATGGGCTTCATCTAGGTCTCTAGATTTCATCCATATTTATTATTAACAAAAAAAATAGTACGTATGTTATCAGTCCTGCTATCAGGACATTGCCAAACCTTCTAACTT